GCATCCATGCAGATCTATAGAGCCTCTAATTAATATTTCTTCAAAATATGCTATAAACAAATGTTTCAAAATTTGCTCATTGAGCTAATTCAATGAAATCAATAAAAGCTTCAAAGCTGTGTTTGGGTGGTGCAATCTTGGTTGCTGATATGCTATGTACTAGTTGACTTAACTGCTGCTAGAGGTCCTGTTTCTTTACCATATACTTAAGGTAGTGTTCAATGTTTACTTTTTGAAAAAAAAAATCACCTATGATGCATCAATGATCAATGCGTGCCAAACACACTTATGTGAAAAAATAGTGAAGGAGAAGAATTAGATTCTAGGAGATGGTTCTAAATAAACTAGCGGTTGAGATTATCCATAATATTTTATTTTGAATGTATTTAATAATTTAGCTTTCTGCTGGTGAAATTTAATAGCTAGTCTTTCTGATTTAATTTGAGCTGTACCCTGTGCTAGACCACACTTTTCCTTCCTTGTCCACAATGGGAAGAATTGGAAAGTAAGGAAGTGAAAGCTTAATTTCTGACTATAGATGTAACAAGGGTAGCAGCTAGTATCCAGAACTTTATGATCACATAAGAAGCCTTCAAGAATCCGCGGTATTTGTAGATTAATGCAAGTCTTTCTTATCCAACAGGCAATAGACATGTATTTTTCTATGGTGTAGTCTGATGCGGATTTAAGGTTTTTAATTATAACTTCGGTGCACCGCTAAAGAAAGAAGAAAAAAAATATATAAAGTGAGAATTAATCCTTACTCCTCTAGCTAGGTAAATAACTCAACATTCAACTAAGTATACCATTTAGTCTCTTTGGAGCATGGGTGCCAACAGACAATATTTGATCTATTCTAGAAAATATGTACATAAAATATCTAGTTTGACGGAGACACTATGGGTTCACGTGCCCCATATATTGGGCTATAAATTCGCCCCCGGGGGTAGTACCTTTTTTGGTTCAACCCACCTGAATATATGCTTATTCATTTCTGTCCAAAAATCAGGCTACAGTCTGCCAGCTGATCAGCCATATATATAGCATCATAAAAAGCAGAGATGTAAAAATATGACCAATAGGGTGCATGGAACCTGAACATCCCCTCTCATAAGTTTCGGAAGAATGGTCATTGGTACAATTTTTGTCAAAGTGTCATGACCTGCAAAGGTACTTGGTCCTCTTGATTTTTGATATCAAGATGCTGAATCATTAGATTATGATCTTTCACATCTGCATTCTCTAAATAGAGCTTGCACTGAGGAGCTTAGTTTGGTACTAATTTGAAATGTTCTGGGGGGAAAAAACTGCTTCTAGGACATAGAATCATTGTTTATACTGCATTGACTGTCTGCTTCAATCCAAAGGTTGCTAAATATGGATAGTGGTACTTATAGAAGTTATCCATTTTCATGATCATCGTCATGAAAATGGATACTCAGACCATTAATAGTTGGGTTGACTTAGATCTAAAGATACTCGGACCATAACCTCCCATCATAAGAGTGCATCATTGATTTTTTTCTTTTAGAGTTATGCACATATTAGTAATGTAGCGATTAGTTATGCAGAAATAAATAATGCAGTAATTGGTTATGTACGGATTATTTCTTTCGATGTTTGGTTTTGTTGTATTAGAAATTAATATACACTATATGACTTTTAAAATAAAATATTTATTTACAGTTATACCCTTGGCCTTCTTTAGCTTTGTTTTTTTTTCTTTTTGAATTTTTATTTAGGCGACAATATAAACACGAACTTTGGGTGTTACTTTCACTTCCTCGTCCTATAGTTGAACTGATATCAAGTTGTAGGCATATTTTCAGTACTCCTTATCTTTGGTGTTTCCATTTTTTAGTAACTTCTTTAGCTCACCTTGTTCTGATTTGTTCATATGAATTGAGGCAAGGCAAGGTATATAGTTGGCACTTGAAAGTACTGTAATTAAAGCCATAAGATGCAACGTACGCTATCAAAGCCATATGATGCAACAATTTAGACAGGACTAGTACACTATTATTTACATATATATAGGCGACTTACAAATCCATATTGGTGAATTAATGAAACTAGGCACATAAAGAGACAAAATCAAAGAGAATCAATACTCAGGCTGGTATTTATATTATGCAACTATCTTTTTGTCTGGAGGCGAAAAGTATGAAGGTATGTGAACAAAGAAAATGTTCCAATTTCAAAAAGTAGTTATCCGTCAGCAGCATTCTCCTTTCGACAGTAGTAAGACAGCTCTAACTTTTTAAGAGCAATGTCTCATGCTGACCGTGTAAAGGTAAACTTCTGACTTTTTAAGAATCTTATTCTTAAGTTCTGGTCATTGTTTAGATGTTTGTAGTCCTTCATCTAGTTTGCGTGTAGCAGATTGTACTTTCTGGATATGTTTGTCTTGCTTCGGCAACTTGCTTCTTTATGAATGTTGTTTCTCTGAAAACTAGTCTTCTCTGATTATCTTATCAATTTTCTATGCTTACATATATCATGGTCCAGGCCTGCAAGGTTGTGGAGGGACAAAGGTACTCGAAGCGCTTGAATGAGAGACATATCGCTGCACGCCTAATAGTGACCTGCAGCGTCCCCAAGAGAGGGAGCGCGATATTCTTGAGGTTTGGAGCTCTGTCTTTTTACTTAGGCAAAATACATAAACAGACACTTAAAGTTGCTCTCTCACACTCCAACTTACCGTATGTAGATGGGACTCTAGCCCATCTATATGAACTCCCCACAGCAAATATGGACAGAAGCAATTGAAAGGAAGCGAGAATCCTCTGGATTTCTCTGCAAGTACGTAGCTAAATACATCAGTTAAGTGATATGGTGTCGATCTCATTCAAATAATTTGGTAGCCAATTTTGTTGACTTAGTTTGGTTTGGTAGCCAATCTTGTTGAATTGGTATGATTTGGTAGCCAATTTTGTTGACTTAGTTTGGTTTGGTAGCCAATCTTGTTGAATTGGTATGATTTGGTAGCCAATTTTATTGACTTTGTTTGGTTTGGTAGCCAACCTTGTTGAAATTGTGAAAATGGTGTGCAAATTATCAAATATTGTAGGCTTTAGAGAGTGAGGTTTTGGCTATAAAAGGAGAGCTTTAACTCTCATTTCTATACACCAACAAAGAGAGAAAAGAGAGAGAGAGAGCAACGTATTCCATAGACTGTAAGAAAATAGTCTGTGAAGAAAAATAGAGTGTGAGAGATATTGTAATGAGGTGAAAAAGCAAAAGAGTATTTTTTCTTTTGAGGGTGTAGTGGTCTTAGGAGTATTCGTACTCGTTACTACACAATGTAAAACCCACGCTATAGTGATATCAATTGCTCTTCTTGGTCGTGGTTTTTCCTTTATTTAGAAGGGTTTCCACGTAAAATCTTGGTGTCATTTTTGCTACATTTTTATTCTTGCTGATTTAACCATAACTTAGTGGTCCGCGTTTATCACTAATACCGTGAATATTATTTTTACTAGGTTTATTCCTAACATTAAGCTTTGTCCTTCATGTGCATCTGAGTTGGCTACTTTACAAAAACACTAATGTCAAACATTTCCATGTGCATTTCTCATACAAAAACAGCCTGCTTTAAGGCCACAACATCCACATATATATACATTTGTGTATATTCTACGAGGTAAAAATACAACATCCAGATTTTACAAAGTAGCTACACAAAAACCTCCAAAAGCTTTAAAGCTTATCATTGATAATCCACAACATAGTCGGACGATCAAGTTCACCCACACTTAAATACAGGAAAACAAAAACAAGCTATACTGCATCATTCGAGACAAATCAAAGAATTGCTTATTGATTAGTACACAAGAAAGGCATACAGTAAGAAGAGGGTATCAGCCTCTGTACATACAAAACAATATTTGATGGCCTACCCTATTAAAGTACAAAACTCTTTGTTTGTTCGAACCTCATCAGCAAAATAAAAGAGACTCATATTGGACAGAGCAAAACAAATACTGGTAGTTCAGTAGTCCACGACGTTATTAGCATGTAACTCCAATAAATGCCTTTAGACCATCTCTAAATCGTCCATAAACCTTGGAACGGTGCCCTTTTGCCGTAGCTGCATGAAGATCTTGTTCGAACTTGAACTCAGGAAATACAAAACCCTTTTTGCTGAAGAGAGTATCAATCATATTCTTCAAAGCCTCCGGTGTCAGTCGAAATCCATCCCAATGTATATGCGAAGCCCTATCAGAACATGCTACAACTCCTTTCTCTCCACACTGCTTTAGAGGATCAAAATTAAAAGGACCGCTTCCAGCACTACCGCAACAAACCTTCATCAACGTCTTAGTCTTGAATCCCAAGAACGCATGATTGCGTAGAACCGCCATAAACGCCTTGTAATAATCTGCATATATGATCTCAACTTCAGGGTACTGTTTAACCAAAAATCTGAGTCTTTGGTCAAAGCTAGAAAGAAATTCGGGTTACTGATAATCAGGAGACGAAAATAAAATATTTTTGAGAATGATGGTAAAGCAATAAATAGATTTGTATTTCAGTAAGATCTCAATCGTATTTCGTGTCCTTACAGATGTTGAGTCTTTCCCCTTTTATAGTTGATTCTAGGAGAAGATATAATGTCTTTGTCTTAATGAGACAATTATGAGCAATAAATGATATTTAAAAGAAACGTTACGCAATCATTTCTATTTAATTCAGATTTTCTAACGTATTTGACATTTAATGCTGTATTTAAACTCTTTTACGTCATCAGATTCGTATCTTCAACTTCTTCTGATCTTTGATCTTTAAACGACTCGAATAAGTACGAGACTCGTACCTATTTTAGTAACGGTCCACACCTATGTTGCTTTCTTTTCCCCCTATCTGTTATCGCCCGTGCCTCTCGGCTATTTATTGCGTTTTGACCTTTTGACCATTTATTGCGTTTTGACCTTTTGACCAATCCACGTGTCATGACACGTCATCTTCAATATTCAAGACTCAGTTTTTTCCCAATACAGTTACTTCAATCGCAGCTCCTCCAAAGCTTGCCATAGATGATCATTGTGCAATGTTGCGAACAAATTTAGTCCTTTGTGACATTTAATTTTCCTGCTATTGTCGTCTTCGGGAAACATTGTTCGAAAACAAGGAAGGCAACCCATGGGAATAATTCCAGTAACCACAAAGTGTTTGGCCTCTGCATCTTTGATCAGTTGTTCGATAGAACTCTTGATTGTCTCCACAACATCAGGGACAAGCTTGGACACTTCGGAAATAGATTTTGTATGCAAAAGAGAGTGCTTGTAATCATTAAAACCAGGCTGATCCATATAGATGATAGCTTTTTGAAGAACCTTGTTTCTGCCGCAGTCATGAAAAGATAAGCAATCCTTATAGAAGAGTTTCATAAAGGCGGAAATCTGCGAGTGATGAGACTGCTGAGGCGCTGGGATGCCATTCTTGATGAAGGAAAAGGGACTCATGACTGTTGCTCCAGGCGTCATGAAACTAATACCGGACTCGAACTCAACGCCTTCTTCGGTGTAATGTTATAGAGAAGGCCGACCAAGCACAGCGGCTAAATGATCAGAAGTAGAAGCAGAGTCACTGTCTCCAAAGCTGTAAATGGAATAAAAAGGGGAAGATTCTTTCTGTGCCTTAGCGGAAGAAGCAGCAAAAAAGACTAACAACAAGATGAGGAAGAAACAGTGGTTGGTAAGGGAAGCCATTGAAAGAGAAGAAACAACGATCATAAGCAGAAGGCAGGGGAAAACTTAGTTTAGGTTTGATAGCATTTATAGAGGTCTCTCATCCGTGGAGTTTAAGCAATGTTACAGAAACTTAAACTAATAGGTTTCCTAGTAGTAAGAGGAAATCCATTCTTATAGATAGAAATAAAATTCTGACTGCGGCAGATTTCCATATATTCTGTATTTTCTTACTTTTGCTTCAAGTTTCTATTAGAGAAACACTTGAATTTGCTTGATTAAAAAGGCCTACGATTTAGGTAGCCATATTCAATTCTGAAGCAGAATTTAAAACTAGAAGGTAACTTTATTAAATGGATTTCATTTAGGGAAACTTTCATAAGTATCACATTTTTAAATAACTAGTTTTAGAGTACGTGCATATTGCGTCAATAATAAAAAATTATTAAAAATTTATATTCTTCGCCATATAAATAGCTATTAATAAAATTAAAGCAATAACAGAGGTAGAATTTAATATACAAAAATAACGACCTAGTACAATTATGAACTAAATATTAAATACTGTGCCAGAACAAATTGATCTTCATTTAAAATAAAATTGGAATTTAAAAAAAAATAGGTGGAGCTTCCTAAATTTCATTTCATTTATAGACACCGCATTGAGCTTTATAATTCAAATACTCTCATACTATAAGAATTGTCTGATAATTAACAAAAATATACTAACATATTAATCAAGGTTGTCATGACCCAAAATCCGTTAAAGGTCGTGATGGCGCGCCGTACACCATTGTCAGGCAAGTCAACACTAAACAGTTAAGATAATTTTCTTTTTAATATTTTTGAAATCATAAATTTCCTTCAATTTAACTAGTAAAAGATGAACTTTACAAAATAATAATGATGTTTTCCAATTTCAATACTGAATATCCTCTAATCATCCCATAATCTGGTGTCACAAGTGCATGAACATTTACTAGGTAGTAAAACAAAATACAATGGCTATACGGAATACAAAATTTGGACAGAAAAGAAAATACAAGAACTCTGAAGGAGACTCTGCTGGCTGCGGATCGTCTCATAAAATGCAGCTCGCCTAAGTCCCCTGTATCAAGCACGCTGCTGCGTCCACAAGGTCACCACCAGTCATACATGTATATGTACAACAAGTGTAGTATGAGTACGAAAACAACACGTACCCAGTAAGTATCCAGTCTAACCTCGAAGAAATAGTGATGAGAGGTCGACTCCGACACTTACTATGACCAACAATAATATACCAATAATATGATAAATTATGGATTTTATAAGGCGACTGTAAACTCAATAACATGAAGCAGGTAAACAATTCTTTTGTTAATAGGAGATTTCCAAATTTATTTTCATCTTTTAACAATTTATATCTCCGGCCAAGGAGGCCACATCAATTATCAATAATTCCAAAATAATCAATTAAGTCATGCGCAAATCATGCCGAGGTCGTACGGTCTAATCCAACATAATATTTAAATTGTGCACTGCCGGGGGGTCGAACAACACGAACCATAGATGCATCTATTTAATCTACTGAGGCATTCGTCCCGTTCCACAAAAGGAAAATACAATCAAATAGTCAATCAAAAATTCATCAAGGAGCAATTATCCAAGGAAATGGCAATCTTCTTTTAACGGTCAAGAAAAATGAAGTTTACCCTTTTAGAAATTTATTTACCAAGTTCGATATGATTTAAGCAATTTAAATTGACAATAAGATTACAAATATCGCAAGTATAACATGCTTTTGGGTCCTAGATTACCCGGGCTTAAGCATAATAGTAGCTACGCACGGACTCTCGTCATTTCGTACGTACGTAGCCCCCCACAAACAGAAGCACATATTGAATTATTTCACCTATGGGGTTAATTTCCTCTTACAAGGTTATAAAGGAGACTTACCTCGTCTTAAAGCCCACTTTCCGATCACAATTTCGCTGTAAAACCCCAACTTGGTGCCGTTCAATACGAAACTAGTCAAACAACGTGCAAATTAATTAAAAATATACTCCAATGCTTGAAATTTAACAATTTATAAAAATTCTCAACTCCGCTTGAAAAGTTGGTAGTAGGGCCCACATATCGAAACCCGATAAAACTCACAAAATTCGATAACCCATTCCGATACGAGTTCAACTATACCCATTTTATTAAATTCCGATAACAACTTGACTTTCAAATCTTAAATATTTCGTTCTTGAAAAGTTTGCAAAAATCTTGATTTTTTCCATTTAAATCTGAAATAAATGATGAATATAACCATAGAATCATGAAGTATAATTACTTTCAGATATACAACACTTACCTCAATCCGAGCTCCATAGCTCCAAATATGTTAAAAATGGTCGAAACCTCGAAATATAGCTTCTGCCCAGGTATTTACTCTTCGCGATCGCGAAAAATGCTTCGTGATCACGAAGCACAACATTTCTCAGCCCAAAATTTGCCCTTTGCGATCACGAAGAACAAATGCCCAGCTCTTCCAAATAGCCTCTAGTATAATGCTCATAACGTTTTGTACAAAATTCCAAAATACAAATGATTTAACTTTTTGAAACCTAGACTACAAGTACTACAACTTTCATGCTTTGATCATCTCCCATTTTCTTATAGATTATGAGATATAAGTTTCCAAAGTCAGCCCTGGGCAACCCAAATTTCTTCTTCGTAATTTCCAAACTCTTCCCGGATAGGCTGTAGTGTACCACACATAACTTTTTGTACATAACTCTAAATTCTAAATTGTTTGATTTTATGAAAACTAGACAAAAAGGGCTACAAATTTTGTTTTTATATCATCTCCAAATTCCTTATAGATTGCAAGATACAAGCTTCTAAAATTAGGTCAGTGCAACAGAAACTTTCCTCTACGCGATCGCAAAATGCCTTCCGTGATCGCGAATCACAGGCCAATTTCTCCCATTTTACTCACCGTGATCGCGGCCAATTCCCCGCGATCGCGTAGCACACTGCTGTAGCCAAAAACCACCAGCTAAAAATGGCCTAGAAACGGTCCGAATCCATCCCGAAACTCACCTGAGCCCCTCGGGACCCCATTCGAACATACCAACAAGTCTCAAAACATATCACGGACTTAGTCGAGGCCTCAAATCACATCAAACAACGCTACAAACACGAATCACACCCCAATTCGAGTCTAATAAAACTAAGAAATTCTAATTTCTACATTCGATACCGAAACCTATCAAATCACGTCCGATTGACATCAAATTTTGCACACAAGTCACATTCGACATTACGGACCTACTCCAACTTTCAGAATCGGAATCCGACCCTTATATCAAAAAGTCTACTACCGGTCAAACTTTTCAAAAACCTTCAAATTTATAACTTTTGCCAAATGACCCCGAAATGACCTACGGACCTCCAAATCCACTTCCGGACGCGTTCCCAATACCAGAATCACCATACGGAACTATTCCTAGACTCGAAATCCCAAACGGACACCTATAACATTGAAATACACCTTCACCCAAATTTATGAAATTCTTCCAAAATGCCAACTTCCACAATAGGTGCCGAAACGCTCCCGAGTCATCCAAAAGCTCATCCGGACATATGCCCAAGTCCAAATTATCATACGAACCTGTTGGAACCTTCAAATCTCGATTCCGAGGCCGTTTACTCAAAAATCACACTTTAGTCAATTCTTCCAACTTAAAGCTTCCGAAATGAGAATTTTCTTTCCAAATCAACTCCAAACTTCCCGAAATTCAATTACAACCACGCATGCAAGTCATAATACCTGAAGTGAAGCTAATCAGGTCCTCAAACCGCTGGACGACGCACTAGAGCTCAAAATGACCGGTCGGGTCGTTACAAAGGTGCTTGGTCATGTCGTTGCCCTTGAAAAGTAAAAGAATAAACATTTCCAACTCAAATTTAATCAACTGCGCTCCTTAATCAACAAAAAAGAATAAAATAAAAGAAATAAGAGTTAATTTAATCCATACTCATCATACATATTAGCAGTACAATCCAATAAAAAATTTCAACTCAAATTTATTCGAAAAGAACTTGTGATTGAAAACTCATAACATAATTTAGAGGAAGAGAAACAATAGAAAAATAGATACATAAAGAAGAAAGGTCAGGACCAAAAATACAAACATACCCGGATCATTCAAAATTAACACTAATTAAATACAACCACATACAATGATAGTGATGATAGAGATTTGGCATTATTTTTTGATTTTTTGGCACATCAGGAGAAGTATCAAAATCATTGGCCTTAGGAAAGACTAATATTCGTGCTTGAGGAAATATTGATAAAGCGGCAAACTCATATAATTAAAGTAAGACAGAATGCGTAGTTCATCTTGTAGATATGTAATTTTTGACCCTCCCCAAGATTTTACACATTTGAGCGTAAATATTTAATTTAGGTTTAGTATCGCTATTCTAAATAGTGTTGACTCTTTTACTTTATTTTTATCACAAAAAGTAAAAAATTTTAAAAAAATATTTTTTATCTTTAGGTTAAAGTTAATTAGTATATTTATATTTATAGTATTATAACATTTGAAAATACAAAAAAAAAATTAGTTTCACGCGTAGTATTTAGTTTTATATTAGTTTATTTTAGAGTGATTTTTACATTTTTATAGATACATTTTATTATTTGTTTTTTTTAGCCAAAGTTCAAACCCAAAAGACATGGTCCAACCCAATTATCCTTGGCCCATTCTTCCTAACCCATTAGCCCACTTAAGTGCAAGATTTAATCCTAGCCATCT